ATATTATATAACTAAATTTTAAATCTTAATTTAATATTTATTTTTTAGGCAACTTAATAAAAGCCTATTTTAAATCAGAAACACTTTCTGAAGTTCACCAGTCACTAAATAGTATAGACAAATTGCATATTTTAGTCGCCAAAGCATATAAAAATATGCATCCTTATGGACAAGATATTCTAGGTGTTTTTCATGCAGCTAAGAATAATTATTCTAAATTAAAAAACTATTTGCATTATATAGGTAAATTAAATAAATAGTGCAAAAATTTGGTAATATATACAGTGTCTTAGAAAATATATCACAGTTATATATATAAAATATACTAAAAGATACATAGAATGCAGCAACAAAGACCATTCTAATAATATATAAAAAATTAAAGACAACTTTTTTAAAGGAATAGGAATGGCTAAATGCATTAATTTTTATAAATTTAATCAACAGTATTTCAAATCATATAACTGAAGTATTGTAAAAATATATTGTTAAATTGGCATATTAAAAGTTTATTATTAATATACTAAGCAATAAATTTATATACTTAGAAAATTTATATTGTTTTTTCATATAATCATGATATATTTTCTGAGAGCACTATATTATAATCTTTGAGTTGATTGATATTTGGATAATTAGCTATACAATAAAAAATTTAACAATTCGACAAAAATTTTGAACTAATATAGGTCCAAAGCTAAACTAGTAGTGATAATAATACTAATTAACTATCATATAACAAATTATCATTTAATTATTTAGTTTGTAGGCAGTCTACTATTTATTAGTTAAATTTGAGTAATTTATCAATTCTAGATATTTTGACTATAAATTTAGTTAATTTGCTAAATTTAATTTTGTAACTAATCTATATATTCTAATAGTGCTGCCAAATTTTTATGCTACATGTATTTTAATAAATTTATATTTATATATAAAGTTATTGTATAATTACTTATATATATTATTTTTATTATTTAGAATAGATTGATTCTAGTCTTATTTTAATTATTTGCATGTTAAAACAGCAAGCTGAGTTGTTAATTAATTTAAAAAGTTTTTAAATTAATTTGATCTTCAAATGTATTAAGGATGATATAAATGAATTTGAAATTAATACATACAATGTAAAAAATAAATTAAGTAAGTATTTTTATTTTATAATTTGTAAATATTATCATATATACTAATAAATTAATAGTTTTAAGTTATTGCAAAATATATATAAATGTATTATTAGCTAATGAATACAAAAAACTATTTTGTACCTTATTTGAAACAATTCAAGAACTCATTAATGAAAACATATATATCCATCATATTTATCAAAAAGGTTGAGAATATATAATAAGAGATTTGGATTCTGCATAAACAAAAGGTTTAGGGCTTGCATTGTATAATATAAATCAATCACAAGATTGGGAAATACATTTAATACATATATTTAAGTCTTATATTATTTATTTTAAATAGTAATTAGTCTCTCTTAATATAGTTGCAAATTATATTTATTGGTAAACCAATAAATATAATTTATATAGATATTATTATTTTAGTTATATTGAATTTTATTATTAATTTAATGATTATATTGAGATTAGACTATATTTTAATAAAATAACTAATTATATGTTTATTTTATTAGAAATCTGTTTAATAAATGATTTTCATAAGAAATTCATGATTTAGCTAAATCAATTTTTAATGCACCTTTACAAGAATTAGTTGAATCAATTTTAGATAAAATTAAATTATCAGATGAACTAGGTGCTAAAAGTAAATATAATAAAATTAATTTTTTTAAAAGATTAATAATTATGCTAACTTAAAAAAATTTTATTATATAGAATAGGCTAATTATTATAAAACTCCTTGGATAATTTCTTCATTGAATGTATATATGTCTAAAATAGAACATAATATTTAGAGAAAACATGACAATAATACCAATTCTGCAGAATCAGCTCATGCTTTAGCAAATAAGAAAGGAAAACAATTAAAACTTTTATCAGCTATTCTACGGTAGTTTTATTAACTATAAAATTATTTGTTTTTTTTTTTTTTTTTTTAAGTTTAAGTCCCTATCTTGGGAGTTGTGATGTTTTTATTCAAGTATATTAGGACATGACATGCCACCAAGGGCTCACCTTACATTGAAGGTTACAACTAGCCACACATGCACTTTTGGTGCCTAATTTAAGTAAACTGCTTACACATTACTATATAAGTTCTACACTAGTTGCCATACCTGCAAGCCAACTAGGGGTCTTGCTTAATTAAACTCTCTGCATATGCAGTCCTCTTTGTATCACTGGAACATCTCAAGGTGCCACCCATCCAAGTTCCCAATGCTTATCGATCTTTTTAGGACTACTTTATCCTCGATAGGAAACTTACTAGAGCCTTTATGTCCTACACATCTAGACCTAGTTTTATGCAAC